ATCCAAAGTCCGGTGAAGTAAATGGAAAGGTTTACATTGTCTGCAAGGGGCTTTGGACCTGTGCTAGCTCTGACAAGCAAATTAATTCAATTAACTAAGGTGCAAATAGTGCATAGTTCTATAATGCCTCTCATTTGAAGACCTCCTGGCTCTTTGCTGAGTTTAATTACCTCACCAATACGCCATAAGGCTGAATTAGGTAAGTGGTAGTATGCCCATTTTACAGCTGGTTAAACTGAGGTGACCATGTCCGGTCTACATTCAGCCTTGCAAAAGGCAGGCCCTCTCTGGGGCCAGCTGCCTGCCTATCTCCCCTTTTGCTTAGTTCAGGTTGGGACAGGCTTGGGGAGCGACATACCATAGCTGGAGAGCGACAGTGTGGAGGGACTTGCTTATAGTCACATGAGGCCTGATTCAGAGGTTGCAACAAGGATCATTTGGCCGTGTGGCTCCACAAGCCGCTCCCTCTAATGCAGATGGTGTTATGCAAAGGAGAAGGATGCAGGATCGGGCCCCAGCTGATCCTATTTGCATACATCCCAGCTGTGCCCCAGCTCCCACAACACACACACATACACACACACACACACACACACACACTCACAATTTGTCAATTGTCGCTCAGGAATGAGAAAGCTGCTCCGTTGCCCTGCCTCCTCTCCTTTCTATCTGGGCTGTGAAGGTGCCTTCCCCTTCAGCCCTCTTGGCCGGCAGGTCCCACGGTGCTAGCAGTCCAATGCAATGCCCTGGAGCACCTCATGCCCAGGGTGCCAACTCAATCCTAGGGTATGCTGGAAAGCCAAGGGGGGGAAAACAGCTTTGAAGCGTGATGGGTGGCTGGGTCAGTAGGCGAATATACCAGGGAGGAAGAGCCTGATGAAGGGAGGGGAAGAAAGTTCAGAAGGCAAAGACAGAATGAAAAGGGCATGTAGCTGGGGCAGGAATTAGAGATTCAGACGTGTCGCAGAGCATCATGGGGTGTGTCCATGGGCTTTGGCTCATTTTATGTCCCGGCACATGCCCATGGGATTAATTCTGCACAGACTCCGCCATCCTTGACAAAAGGCTGGGATTACCGCATCATCGTCCCTTTAGGAGCAGGTCACGGATGACTGTGGTCTCAGAAGCAGAGGGAGAAGAGGAGGGGAAGCAGAGGCTGAGCCCCCAAACAGGCCCTTAGAGAATGGCAGGCTGTGTGGTAAACACAAGAGGCTTATGGATGGGTTAGGGTGAGATCTCCCCCAATTCATGATGCTGGAGGAGGTGGAGAAATGTCCGCCTCAGCCACTCTGTGGGGTAGACATGGTATATAAGCCGCCTAGCTCAGAGGTATCCTGAGATCTGCTTGGAAAACCTGTAGAAACCAGGGAGCCTGCAGAGAACTAAGGCTCCTAATGCCCCTCATCCCCCTCAGCAACACAGCACTGCAGGTTTTATTTATCACCCATCTCCCCCCGTTCAGGCCCTGGACCATCAGCAGCAATAACGCAGTACAGCTCCCAACCCAGAGCTGCAATGTCAGAGACATGCAAAGGGAGAAAAGACAGCCAATAAGTGCACTGAGGTCTTGGCAGAATCATAGAAAATTGGAAATACCCAACTTTTTAGATACAAGTGCTGGAAAAATGCATGTTTTCTGTATCCCAAAAAAACATAAATGAAACATTTCCAAGATCCTTTTCCAAAAAAAAGTTATGACAGAAATATGTCAGCCAGCCTTACGGGGTATTCTTCATCTATCTAAGACGTGTAGAACCAGTGGTACCTATGCAGCCAAAGGCAAAATCGTAGAATCAGAGAATCATTGGAAATAAAAATTAATAAATAATTAAATAAGCCACTTATGAATTCTTGCAGGCATGTTGGAAGGACATGGGCATCTAGGAGAAGTAAGAGTTTTATAGAGGATGCAAGGCAAAATTCCTCTCTTAATAATTCCTTGCAGCTGGGTATAACTCGGTGTCGCAGATGGGTCATTCTAGCCAGGAAGGTTGTTGACTCTCCATCCTTGGATGTTTCTAAGACCCAGCTGACTGATTCTGGATAGCCAGCAAACCCCATCGGTTCAGCATGGAGGTTGTGGCGGCTGCGAGGTTGCTGAGTTGTGTACTTGTCAGGCAGGCCATGCTTTTTTGGCAAGCAGTTGGCTAGCTGAGTCATTTCTTGAGCCTAGCTGAGGGGTGTGCATCCGGGCACATGCCTCCTCTTTTGCTGTTGTCATGAATTCACAGCTCTGCCCTCTGCAAAGCCCTGTGTTTGGTCTTCTTTGGACATGACCCAAAAGGTAGGTCTGATAGCAAGGGAGACTTTGTGGTTAGCAATGACCATGCTGTAGCTCACTGACTCCTAAACATCAGGCACACGACCATGCTGGAACATCTTTCCTTTATGATCGGGGCTCTCTACCCATTGAAATCAATGGCAAAACTTATCAACACCTATAGTGTAGAATCAGAGCCAGAATGATGGATGGGTCTGCATGTTTGGCTCTATTATATTGCTACTTTGTGTATGTTCAGACCTACCAGACACCTGGAGCCACTCCAAATGCCAACCTCCACCCCTTTCTCAGCTACCTGCATGGTGCATAAAAGCATGTGCATGAGCACGTATTGCCTTCTCTTGGTCGGTCCGCACACAAGCAAGGGACCTTTTACTGCTGGGTAGCGGAGAGCTTCAGCTCAAGCCTGGAAAGGCGATTTTTGGAAGGAAGGTGCAGGATGCACATGTTAGCTCTGCAGGAATGTGTGCGCTGGTTAGTGCATCCATCACAGCCAGCTGTGCCTGTTTTCTGCAATACATAGCTATACAGTAGGCAAGCTCCAGGATGGGTTAACATGCAAGGAGGCATTTAGGTGGCAGGAGGTCTTATTGGAAAGCTGTATTACCCCTTGAATTTGTCACTGGGGAACAACTTTATGGAGCAGTTTCATAAAGCAAGCAAAGGGGAGGATCTCATGGCATGAGAGGTAGAGAAAAACCAGCTTGGTTTGACGAGGGGATCTAAGCTTTGTGCTAAAATAAGTGAACCTTGCCTATATGCAGGATTAAAATGGCACCCTGATGCAGAGCGGGACACAGGAACCGGGAGACTGCCCAGGCCCTGGACAGAAAGGGGGCCTGAAAATGGTAATTTTTTTCCATTGTCCAATTATTATTGTTATTATCACTATCTCTGGCAGAGGGGGGCCTGATGCTAAAAGTTTGCCCAGGGCTGCCAGGAGTCTGGTACAGCCCTGCCCAGATGCCATCTGATGAAATGAGCTACAGCTCATGAAAGCTTGTGATATCTATCTATCTATCTATCTATCTATCACAAGCTTTCATGATATATATTTATATATCTACTTTGGTTAGTCTACAAGGTGCAGATCTAATTTCTCAGGTAGATTTTCCCAATCTCTTTTTCATGTCACCAACAAGTCCCTGCACCAGGGGAAGCCAGTGTGGCAAAATCTGGCCTTTAACTTCAATGAATACCATCAGCATTTATTTCTGGGGGTTTCTATGGTTTCCAGCAGCTTTGATCTCAAAATTTCTGCTCTCACTTGCAGAATGGGAGTGAAATGTTATTGTCTGCTCCCGTCAAAGTGAGGAAAAATGTGTTTAGGCTGCAAGGGCCTGATCCCTAGCCCATCAGAGTCAATGCAAAAACTCCCACTGACTGTAACAAGCTTTAGATCAGCTCCCCAGCACAAGAGCAAGTGTGTCTACAGCGCCTTGCACAGCTGCTCCTGAAGAGAGCAGGGTTAAACCAGACAAAGACACAGGTAAAGATACAGATGTAATTAAAATCCTCATTGTGTTAAGGAGATGCTTAGATTCATGCTGCAGTCCATGCTTTGGTTTCCCACTAGCTTCTAGACATACTTCAGCAGCTGCAGGGCAAGCTTAACATGGGAGAAGATCCCACACACTCCTTGTCCAGACTGTGACCGTTTACCTAGCAGCGATACAACTAGCACAAAACACCTCTGCTAGGCAGGGTTCACTAACTGCCAATTACTTGACAGCCATGAGGGTGCTTGTACACGTGACGATGTTAGCATGTACATGTGACGAAAATTTCCCTTTGTGCAGCATAATACCATCACACTTTACACGTATACGAGTTTTGGGGGTTTTACATGAGTTTGCATCATCACAAACTAAACCACATCCCGATGTAGTTCAGTTTGCAATGTTGCAACTTGGAACATTGCAGCCATTAATCTGTCAGCAAACCCCCCAGCTGCCGGAGAGGTGATCATGAGCAGGCTCCTCTGAAAAAAAGGATCAGGCCCCTCGTTGTTTCTGCCTTAAGCAGATGCCTGTAGCTACCAGGACACCTGGGGCTGCCTGGGAATGGGCTGGCTTGTCCCTGGAGCAGCGTGGGGAGGCATCAGGAGGGTGGCTGGGTGGGCTGGCCATTCTAGGGTGGACAAAAGTCCCTTTTCTTGGATATGCTATCAGGATATGTGGGTTTACTCTAGTAGTGCCACCCTACCTGGGGATACGACTTCCACCAAGTCAGTAGGGTCCAACCTTTTTGGCAGGTGTGTCACTAATTAACCCTGCATCTTCCCCAGTCCCCTTCCCTTACCTGATCTGCTGGTTTTCCACCCACTTCCTGCCACCCTGAAGGATTAAACCCCTAGCACGTGTACAAGTGCCCAGAGAGCAGGGCCAGGAGACTCTTAACGTCCTTCCTGGGTTCACTCGTCTCTGGAGATGTTAGTAAGACAAGGCAGACAGACTATCTGCATTTAGAAATATTTAATTTCACTGGGCATTTCAGGAGAGCCAGAAAGGCTTTGCTGGACTCTAAGGAAACTCCCATGCACATTTCACTTGACCTATGCAGATTTTGTAAGATCAAGTTTTTACAACAGAAATGTCCTTTTTTTAATTAAAAAAAACCCTAATAGAGCCATTTAAAAAAAAATCACCCCTCTCTTGCAGTGTTTGCAGCCAAAATGCAGCAGCATGGAGTTAGTGCCCGAGGACTAAGAGGTGAAATGGATTATGAAAGTGAAACTGGTCATTTTGTTTGCTCAGGCTAGGAGGAAACAAAACTTTGAGGAGGAGCAGAAACAGTGAAAAGGAGATGAGATGTTTGCACAGCCTTCAGATTTTACTAATCTCAGCTATTATAAGCAACACAGGAAAAAAAACGATGTATGTAGGCAGGTCATAGATTTGAAGCTCAGATGGATGGTGGTAATGAGCTATTCTGATCTTGTGCATGACACAAGCTACAACGTTTTACGTGATCATTCCTGCATCAGGCTGGGTACCTCGTGGTGAAGCTGAAGTGTCTATTTTCAAAATGATTTTGTAGGATTATTTTTATTATGCGTTACTTTTCTGGCACCCCCTCATCAAACAGATCTTTTTCTGTGCAAGGCCTTGTACAGACCAAACACAAAGCTAATTCCTCTGCAAAGACTCTGCTGCCACCGAAGTTAGTGATGGGACAAATTGGGAAGGATTGGACCCTGAATTAGCAGAGGAAGGGTTGCCAGAATGACTTCCCCAAGCAGCAAGGTGTAACTCTTTTACATTTGCTCTGGGACCCAAGCTCCTGCTCGTCCAAATCCAGTGCCCTTTGAGCGTTTGACGGTATTTTAAAATCTACGATGGGATGTAGGCAGAAATCATTTTCCCCCAGATGTTCATGCTGCCTTTACAGAATGGTGATTTCTGCACCATTTTGCCTTCTCTGCTGTATTTAAACCCAAGCTGAGGCAGCACAAGGGGGTGAACGATCAGACGTGAATGAACACAGAGTGATTTCGGGTGCCAGGGACAAGCAGGGTAGAGGTGCTGGTTGGGACAGCTGCTGGGTGCTGTGACAATAAATGCTTGTTTCTCTGCTGCCCATTGCAGCTGTTTGGAAAATGGGGTTGGGGGAGGAGCAATTTGTATTTTGTGAATAAGGACCAGCATAAATGACCTCTTAGCGCCTGGTGACTTATCCTACATTGAGGAAGCGCTTGCCCGTTGCACTTTGGAAGATGCTATCGGCCACCCATTGATGTGTCTTTGCTCTTTTGTTTTTTTACATATTTTAAAAGAGCATAATTTGGAAAATAAAGAACGCAACAAAAACCACGATACAATGTGTCTGGGCAAGGCAATAGATAACCGTTTGGCAGAAGCTCATGCCTCCCGAATGCATGCAAAGCCCACCTGCCTGGATATCATCCTAAACACTGATTGTGAAGAAAGAACAGAATAAAACATTTACATCTGTAAGTTGATTAAGTGCAGTCCCGTTGGGCCCAATCCATTCCCCTTTAAAGACACAGGAAGTGTTGCTATGGATATTAACAAGAGTCAGACTTGGCCTTTAGCGTAGGGGCGCTTTTGCACCATTGAACGGACATGAAACTATACAGCTCCTTCTGTTGAAAGAGGATGCTGACACCAGAGACCTCCTGGGCTTCGTTCTGGTTTCCAGTTGCCTGTGCTTTCTGTCCCGATCTCCATCCGAACAGATTTTTAGAGCGCTCTTCTGCAACGAAAATTGATCAGTTCAACACATACCATCTCAGGCCCAGGTTGGCCCTTTCATGCTGAATCCTTGGACTAAATCCCCTGCTTTTCCTCAGTAATTTCCTCAATTATCCACTTTGTTTTACAGACGTTTAGGTTTAATGTGGATTTTGCTGTAAAAGTTTTGTGAAGACCTCGCAAAGGAAATCATTAGCTTGCATCCACTTAAACGTATCTAGCAAAACCTTGAGGCTAAAGCAACAGGGGAGGGGAGGAGCGGGGGGAGAGAGATAAACCATAATATACCAGGAGCCTTTAACAAATAGGTTATTTTTCTTTGCGTATACAATGCACCATTATGTGCTTTTTTTCCAATGAGAACAATGCCAGCAACAGTGATGGGAAACTGGGGAAACAAAAGGGGCATTTATAAAGAACTGGTTTAGAGGCTGAAAAGCATTGAATAACGTTACACCTGATCACAGATACTTGCTCAGAGGTCATCAGCCAATTTAACACCACAATATTTACTTGAATGATACATAACACGGCTCTAAACACAGCAATTATGAGTGCTTAGTCTCCGACTGTTTTATTGAAATCGTCTAAGAAATATAGACTCCATCTCGAGGTCGGATTTTTTCCTATCCTGCGAAACACGACGCTGAAATCACGCCATCCTCAAAAACAAGCCTCCAAACTTTATGTCCCGTTTTATCGTTAACCTTTCCGGTTTGCAGCAGTCTGTTGTCAGAAGCACATTCAATGCAAATAGGAACGGGGTTGGTTTTGTGGTTAAATACATCTCCAGGTGGCCTTAGTCCCATTTTTGTTGTTGTTAATTATTTTTTTTAACAGTTATAACATGTCTAATGGAACAGTCTTTTGGTTTGCTCCCTACAGCAGAGGGCATATTTGGGCTCCAGTCTTCCAAAACTGAACATGCATGCTTTGTAGCAAGTCAATACCGTGGTTTAATTGATTTATCCTCTCTTCACTTGTAAAGTTAAGCTCAGGAGTAAGTTTGAAGCCATTCCTAAAAGAGCGGAGATGCTTTTTCATGCTATTGCTGGGGTTATCTTCCATCTTTCAATGTTCAAGGGGACAGGAGTGCTAATACATACATTTCACACGCGTGTGTTTTGTCCTACTGGATGCTTTGCTACGAACACAGTCGGGGCCCACATCTGCCATTAGAAAGTGTGATCGATCAACCCTGCGCAATACGTCTTTCAAAAAAATAGGCCCCAATCCCACGGTCCTCACTCACTATTTCAGCGGCAGTTTTGCCTGAGCCAGGGCTGCAGGGTCAGGCCCTCCTTATATCTGTTCGAATAAATTCAGAGTCACCCGTTTGTTGATATTTTCTCTCAAACACACGAGGCATATAGGGCAGCTGACTACAACCGTCTTTCTTTCTGCCCACACCAAGCAAATGACAGTACAAACAACCTGCTTTTCATTTGAGAGCTGGAATAAAGAGCGGGGGATTTTGGAACCCTTGGCCAATTGCTTGTGCCACTTAGGGACGCATGATAATGATGCGAAAGTGCCCCCGCTTATAGGGTACCACGGCATTCCCAGCCCGAAACACCCTTCTCGTTTGCCTGAAAGGATGCAAACACACCCAGGCTTTTAAAAACATAACGAGACCCTTTCCCGTAACAGGAGCGCTCCGCCACGCCGCAAACACCGAAGCGCCTGCTTTGCTCTCATAAGCCGCCTCGATGCCTTCGGCGTGCCCGTAACGCCTCTCACGGGTGACTCAGATAAGGACAGCTTGGCACCTGGGCTTATCGTGAAGTGCGTTTTTATTGGGGACTCTTTGATTACCTCCCTAAACCAGTCATTGGAGGCAAGGGTTTTCCGCTAGAAAGCTGGCAGTTTCTGGCCAGGGCTGGTGAGGCCTACGCGAGGCCATCACCTCACAGCCTAAAAAACGCTCCACAGCTCGGACCGTTCGGGGCGGGGGGGCTATTTCCGTCTCCGGTTATTAGGAGCGGGGGGAGGGGTACAGCCCCGGTGCTGAGGTAGCTCTGAGTCTTGGCGGGGTGTCCCTGCGCTGGGCGGGGCGGGG